TTTTTTTTTTTTTTTTTTTTTTAATATCCTCCCTCTAATAATAGTCTAATAGTCAGATTGTCTTTAGAAGTTGTAGCAGACCCACTGAAAAAGTAATTCAAAGATAGGATTTTAAAGGTTCCTACACTCCAAGAGCAAAGATGAATCATGTCTGGATGTTGTGAGTCCTGGACGGAGCGTGAGTTATGGTGTCTGTCGTGTACTGAAAGATCATGCAAACAGACAGCGAGGCTGATAAAAGAAACAAGAGCAGACAAGTAGAGAAGAACAGGGGTAGGAAGACTAATGTAGTGTAAGTGAGGAAGATGCCTGACTTTCTGGCTGCCCAAGTGACTGGTTGAATGAATGAATGAATGAATGAATGAATGAATGAGAGGGGTTTTTTTGTCTGACGAATGTGGCTGCCGCTATTTCCCAGAAGCAGCCAGTCAGTGGTGTTTAAAAATGAAGGTGCAGCCATCTTTTCAAATAACACAAACTATAACTTTTTATGTTTACAAATTCAAATCCAGCCATCCATTCCTATTGACAGTTTGATAGTTTCACTAGTCGGTATGCTTCCTTACAATCTTTCAGTGGAGCTGTGGTGCTGAAAGGACAGCGCCAGACCAACCAGGTTCGCACATCATGAGCAGTGGACAAACATACATTCAGCTGCCAGTTTGTTAGGAAGGTAAAACTAATGCAATCTCCTGCGCTAAATCTTATCTTCATTAAGTTTTTTTTTTTTTCTTCAAAGCTGTTAAGAGAGCTGTTGATTCGACTTAATAGTCATTTTGGTAGCTGTAATTTGGAGTGTTGTTGAATTTTATCACAATATACTGACAGGTCCAAATTTTCTAAAACAAAAATTAACCTTATAACCTTCATTAAGGCAGGATTTATTGCAGTGCTCTTGTAGTAGATTGCATTAGTCTGTGCATTAGGGAACCTAATAAACTGGCATTTGCAAGTAGTTTTCAGTACATATATGTCAGGATAAAAACAGGGGCCCTGTTTTTATTTTCAGTTTTATATGCACATATTGAAACAGGGATGTTGGAGGTTGTGTGAGGTGATGGAAAGGTGGATGTTTGTATGATTTTAATAGCTGCCTATGGGGTTTACGCTTTACTGGGCTCACCGGAGGAAAAAAAATAGATGAAGGGAAAGAAGCAGAGGGGGTTGCATATTGACACAAACCTGTGTATAAATTTGCCACATTTGTAGAAATGGAAGATGGATGTGGTCTTTGAAAGAGACTTCTTCCAGAAATCTTCTAGAAGATGGTGTCAGTGCCTGTTCAGGCTTTCATTTTAAATCCCAAAGAATAGAGGCCTGTCTGTGTAGTCCCTAGAAACGGAGAGACAGAGAAAAGTGACATAACTAGCAGAAAGTCCGGAAAGAAGGGAAGCAATAATGAAAAAACTAAGTTTGCCATGCCAAGAGCAGAGAGGAAGATTGCAAAACTTAACAGCGTGACTCAGTCGTCTGTCTTCATCTTCGTGAGAATGATGACCTCAGTTCACCCTCTGGAGCTTACTCACAAAATGACTAAACCTGGTGAAAATACGTGACTATGAAAGTTTCAGAATGTGAGCCAGGGTCATAATGAGGTAAACATGTAGCCCCAGATGACCAGGAGGCAAACAAGTGCTGACATACTTCACATACTGTGATTTCTGTTCACAGTACATACTCATAAATCTGTAAATCTGAGTTGTATAAGGTTTATGGAAATATTCATGTTGACCTGTTCAAATTTATTTAAGTAGCTAGTACAGTAGTAGGGACCAAACTGGCTGACAGTGTCCTTATTTGTGTTTTTATTTGTTATTTTTTTTGCATTCTCAGAGGGGGGAAGAATGAACCAGAGCCAGAGCAGCCTGTGCCCAGGAAGGTGACCATCCGCAGCCTGCCCTCTGCAGACGATATCGACCCAGACGTACTGGACAGCATGCACTCCCTGGGCTGCTTCAGAGACAAAAACAAACTACTGAAAGACCTGCTCTCAGATGAGTGAGTGAATGGAGGGGCAAACGTGAGGGATGGGGAAAAGGAAGAGATTTAATGTAGAAGAATAAGCACGAGAAGAATGGAAAGGAGTTAGTAAGGAGAAATACATTTTTAAAAAGTGAGGTAGTGTGTGTTGAAATAGGAAAAATGGTTGTGTGGGTGTGTGGTGTACACAATTGGCCTTGGTTTTTCCCCGGCTCTTATGAAATCCTGTGAGCCTGTCACTTCAGATGTCAGAAGCCATAGATCACTTAACTGTTATCACACAGCGCTTACACCATTTGCTACTGGATACATTCCCCCAAACTGATCTGAACTGATCTCACACTACGAACATGCTCCTGGGTCACACGGTTTATCTTCTGCAGCTCATGTTTGTGTCTCAGTTACACGTGTTTGAGTTTTTCGCTCCTGTGAATTTGCATTTGTGCTCAGGATACTTTGCCCCGTAGTCTTTCATACACTTGTTTTTATTTATATGAGCATTGCTTTTCTTTTCTATCTCCTTTCCCTCTATTTTACATTTTCCCAGCCTCTCTCTTTTAATACTAAATGAACATTACTATCTCACTTTCCCCTCTCCCCATCTCTTCCGTTTGCCTCCTTTCTCATGGGAGCATCCCGTAATAGTGCTGGACTGGAGGAAAATCTGCGGTCTCCATCTCCCCTCCCTTGGTTCATTTTAGCTGAAGTTGCAGGTCCTTGTCTCTTTGCCTCCTACTGCTTTCCAATCTGTCTTTATTATGGAGGGCCAATCCCTTTGCCTTTTGCATAGAGAGTATTGGCCTAGAGGCTAAAGATATTAGGCCTCCTGATTTACTGGGAAAGAAAAGGATGAACTCATACGTTTTGATACTTTCATAAACTTACCAGCAGACGCTGCATATGGAAATAGGGCACATCCTAAAAAATACATGCAGAATATTATATGATGGCTTAATGATCTGTGAAACTAAACTTTTGTTTTAATGATGGAAGCTATTTAGTAGCTGTTTCACAATGAACCAAAAACGATTAAAGAACATTAATCATAGTGAAGGTTTTACAGTTTAATGTCTTGGCCTTTAAGCACTTGCAGACCTCGCTGGTGCACACATGTACACTGGGGTCCAAAAGTCTGAGACCACTGGGGAAATGGTCTTAGACTTTTATATACTATACTATATATTCACTGTATATAAACGTTTTTAGTACACACCTTAGTAATCTGATGGTATGCATGATTGTGTAGGTATTATTTCAATGGTCTTTTTATTGTCCCCTCTTTTGCAGTGACAACCAAGAAAAGATGATCTACTTCCTGTTGCTGGACCGTAAAGAGAGATACCCAAGTCAGGAAGACCAGAATCTCCCCCCTCGCAATGAGATTGGTGAGGTTTGAGCAGAAAATATAAGCATAGATAAAGAACTGTGTGACAAGTAAATAAAATATCAAGGAATGGCAACTAAAGAGAAGAGCATATCAAGAGAAAATAGAAATAAATAAGTAAACAAAGTATATCTGAACAATAGCACTATTTGACTTGAATCTTTACTTCAAATGGCTTTTTACACAGACAAAACAAGCCAGTTTAGACAAGAATAATACTCCAAGAAGTTAACTCATGAGTGTTCCGACTGTCTGAACCATTCTGAAGTGTTTTCCTCCCTCTGAAGGAATTGGATGAGCTCCAGTAGCAGTGGATTGACTCTACAGTAGAAAAAAGCTTTCTGTTTATTGAAAATAGACAAGCTTCTCAATGCAATATAGTAGCAGAAATAGAAGGTGTCAATAGGCCATATATTTTATTTATTTCTTTTTTTTTTCAGCTGCGACTGCTTCAGTTCAGATATTAACTCATCGAAAAAAATAGATGCTCCAATTCAAACACCACAACCCAGCACACATTTCCACCCACAGAAATCTGAGCAGAGACAGAGATGCTCTACTTAGACTTCCGCCAGAGTTATTTTCTGACAAGAGCGCAGCAATAGGAGGAGTATTATGTGCAAGTGTGTGTGTGTGTGTTTGTGTGTGTGTGCATGCGCGGGCTGTGAGATACCGACATTTTGATGAATAGACTCCCTCTTCAGTGAATGTGATACAGTCAATACCGTGGCCATTAGTTCAAGGTCTGGGAGGTAACCATTACTTATTCACTATTAGTTAAATTGTCAATGTGATCAGCACTAAACATCATTCAAACACTCACACATATGCACACAAAACTGTGGAAATACACACATTAACACGCAGAGAGGACATCAGGTTGCATTGTGTTTGCTCTGAACCGGCCAGATCCTCCAAGGAAGCGGGTGGACTCTCCCATGTTGAACCGACACGGCAAGAGGAGACCAGAGAGGAAGTCCATGGAGGTCCTCAGTGTTACAGATGGAGGTTCACCTGTGCCGGCCAGGAGGGCTATCGACATGACGCAGCATGGACAAAGGTATGTGTGCAGGTGAAACGAAAAAGTGAAAAAAATATATAAATAAAAATTTCAAATGAACAAATAGAGATAGACTTAGTCCTCTATGTGTGTGTGTGTGTGTGTGTGTGTGTGTGTGTGTGTGTGTGTGTGTGTGTGTGTGTGTGTGTGTGTGTGTGAGAGAGAGAGAGCGCGCGCGAGAGAGAGAGAGAGAGTGTGTGTTGTTTATGTATGTGTGGAGGCTCTCGCAGCCCAGTGGTGTTTCGGAGGGCCTGACAGCGAGCCTGGCTCTGATGTCAGCAGGTTACATTGTGGAAAAACATAAACAGAGACTGACTCTCTGCTCGCTTTGTCTCCTGTCTCACTGTAGTAAATCAGTGTACAGTAAAAGCTTGGATATTCCTGACGCCAGTACAAAATGCAGCAAAGAAGAAAGGTATTCACTTGTCAATCACTCCCCACGCTTTCACCTCCTCTTTGCTCCGTGTCTCACCCTCATGCCAGGAGACGTCCATGGCAGAAGTTAAGATGCAGCGGAGCTTTCTGTTGCTTTGTTTTACATGGCGATGACATGTGCAGCATGTGGCAGCTTCACAGGTCTGTTTTAACAAGCTGTAGGTCATCTGAAAAAAAAAAGTGAGAACTATTGGGTCCTACAGAGTCAACAGCTTTAGGATGGCAGCTCCTAAAGTTCAACTTAACTCTCGTAATTAAGTTAATTTTCAAACTGAGGAAGACTGCGCATTTGCAATTCAGAGCCTTAATATCTACAACTCCCCCTTTTTCGGTGTTAGCTCAATTATCTCTTTTTTTTTCTATAATCTGAATGCATTGATAATCAGTTTCCCCCATACTGTGTCCCACTTTCTCCAGATGCAGAACATTTCTCCATTTCCCTTTTTTTAGAAATGTTCGAGTCAAGCAAGAACCACACCCCGACAAGGCACAGAGGGCTGACTTGAAAATCTATTTCCTCATCTTATTTCAACAAGCAATATATCATCATACACATCACACATCTCTGCTCAGAGGCAGTGACATTTGTGACAGCGGGGGAGATTGACTCTGAGGGGGTGATAACCTGATTTGCCTAATGATAGGCAGATTGGCAGAGTGCTGGGAACAGCTTTCAGATGTATAGGATGTTAAAATGCAGAGGCAGTGAGTGCGTGGACTATATAGATAAAAAATATAGTTATAATGTTGAAAATTCATCCAAATGCTAGATACACGAATAACTCCTCACCTAGCAGTTTCGCTATAACAAAATATCAAGAATTTATTTCCCCAATTCATCCCACTGGGAGAAGCCACTTCAGAAGTTTTAAATCCATTTCAAGAGCTCCCACCTCTAAACACTTCTGCTTAATTCTTTCTGTCCTCTGGTGCCTCTGAATTTCAGTTTAAGATTCATCTTCTTGTGTTTCATCGCCTCCACTCCACTCCTTCATCCCTTCGGGCGATCTGAGTCTTATCTCTTCTTTATTTAAAGGTTGCGTTAGTGTCGAAGCTGCCTTTTTCTGCCCTTCACTCCGACTCATCTGTTTCAGTCAAGTCTAGAATTTCAAAACAGGCCAGTTTACAATGACTTTATTGAGCATCAGTAATAACTTCTTAAACACCAGTTCATATATCATCGATAACTGAATGGAGTGAGCAATAAAGGGCACTGAAATGAGTGGTTTGAACCTTTATTCAAAAGAGGTTTACATATAAATCTCAGTAAGTTCTAGCTAGCAGCATATGAAATAGGTTTGTGTCGGAATCCTACATATATCAGCAGCCACAGTCATTAAAAGAAGCTCCCCTGCATCTTTCCTCCATGCTACTTTAAATCAGTGTGGGTTTTTTTTTCTTCATATCCCTCCGCCCAATTCTCTCTCAGGGGCTCCTCCTTACCCTTTCATATCTGCTCTCTCTCGCTCTCTCTCTCTCTCTCGTGGTCCCTTGTGTGCTGCTGACCTTCAGTTCCAAACACCCCCCTCTGTTAGTATGGAATTGCTATGCTAATGTGGAAATGCTGCTAGTTTTTCTCTGTCTGGCTTCCTATCAGCTGTGGTGGGTTGGAGGTGGGGGGAGTCCTGTACCCTCCGCCTCCAAATCAAATCAAATCTCTCTCTCTCTTGCTCTCTCTTTCTCTTTCTCTCTCTCTCTCTCTCTCGCTATACGTCTCTTTCACCCCCACTGCAATTCATAGCTCTCCAGCTGATCAGTGAGGGGGGGAAAAAGATGTTGGTAACAAAGTCTGTGTGAAACTGGATTTTTGTTGTGTTTTTGAACTTTTCTGCCTATCACGTCCTTGTATGCACTTTGTTTGATCATGTGCCTGCTTCTGGGTGTGTGTGTGTGTGTGTATAGATGATAGTGTTGGGGAGGCACATACGTAGCAGAATAACGTCCAAAGATTTGACTGACTTTTTCTCTGAACCTAACCTTATCTTTCCCCGACAGCAAACTTTTGTCGACAGCACAGAAGATTCATGGAACTTCAGATCAGAGGGCGTCAGAGAGAGGCCTGACTTTGAAACATGTGTTTTGACAGGATACATTTCCACCAGCGTAAATGGTGGAAGAGAGAGAGGGGGAAACGGTTTTTATCAAAAATTACACAACGAAAATGCCTGAACCACGATCCTTATCCAGCGTTTTGCCTCGCATATCTCGTACGGGCAGTTACGATCCGAGCAACTGCCCAGGCTACATTTTCATACATGCGATTGGTGATTCGACTGCTCCTGTGAAGTATAATTGAATAGATTTGGGATAAATCCTTCAGTAGCCGTGTTGTACAGAAAGACACATGAGGACATTCTCACACGAATGCCCATTTCATTCTTTATATACCCAAAAGTACCTTAAAAAGACATTTAAAGCTAAACCCAAAGCACAAGGAATCCCACTGATTTAATTTTAAATCTTAACAACATGCCAGAAGAAATGAAGGGAGGTTAATGATATGTAAATGAAATATGGAAAAGTGCTGCAGTGTGAAGAAGAGAATATCAATTGATTTTTTTTTCTCTTTACAGCTTTGCTCTTGTTGCTTCATGCAGTTTGAATGTGTTGGGTTAGTCAGAGCAGTCTTAATAAGTCAGGCTCTCATGCTAATTATTGACTCTAATTTATTTAAGAGGCTCAAATGAGCACAAATAAAGCACCTTTAACACTGATCTCTACAGCAGAAACTGCAGGGGTCTTACTACATTTAGAAATTTGAGGAGCTGAGCTGTGAATATTAATGCACCAAGTCCTCAGGGAGTTGTCAGGGCTCAGGAAAAGGAAATGAATTTAAACAGCGTGTTGATTTATTTGAATATCTACTCCACGTAAAGGAACTCCATCGGCAGGACAAAGTCAATACAGAGGAGGAAGAAAGGGAGGAATAGAACTTTATCCACTTGCCTTAAATCATGCTAGCAGAACACTTGTATTGTGTTTTTGGCTTTGGCAGTGTTATTCATTTGCTGTTTGACTCCTGGCACCATCCTTTTTCGCTTTGCTTCTTTTTCGTTTTATTTCAGTCCATGCCCTCATCGTAGAACCTCTTGTACTTGTTCCACTCCCCACAGACCAACATTAGACCCCCACGGGTGCTTTGGATGGGTCTCTGACACAGCCGGTGGGTCATACACGGAGGACAATGGGCCCATTCCAAAATAGGCTCATGGGAAATGTTACTGTGAGGACTAATGGATAATAGAAAGGCTAGAATAGGTGGCCCACACATATATGGGGGGCAAGCACACTCTTGTGATATCTGGCAATGCAGGTAGTTTTGTTTCATTTGTCCAGGTTTTGAGATTGTCCTTCAGGAGATGAGCCGAATGGAAAAATTTTTGTGGTAGTGAGGAAGTATTCAGATCCATTATTTCCATAAAAGCTGCAATATCACAATAGAAAAATGTTCTCTCACAAGTTAAAGTCACAAGTGAAGCTTAGTTTAGTAAAAGTATTGAAGTATTAACATCAGAATGTACTTAAAGTTTTGTAGGCATGCTCATTATGCAGCAGTCAGTGTTATATTGTATGATATTTGACTATGACTGAATTTAATATTGTACTTAACCTGCAATAGTTGCTAAATATTTTCACATTTAGGGACTACTTTTTTACCAAAGAGGTAGTCTCTAGGAGACACAGTGTGGTAAATGGGACATTGATTCTGTAAAGAGAAGTTACTTTAGGTATACTTTAGGGTAATTTCCAATTTTTAAAAAACTTTCTGAATGGCTAGAAAATACAAGAGAACGTGTTTTTTTTTATAAGGGTGAACTGACCCTTTAAAGCAAGCAAGCGCACACACATAGACACAAACCACAGGGCTTAGCTGACTCCAGCATCTCCTCTCCGACTGATTAAGTAACGTGCCGTCTTTGTTTCTATATAGATGATAAATGATGGCTTAGTTGTGTATGCTGTTCACTACAAATAAAACACTCGTCGACAATAATTCATCGTCTCTCAGAAGCAAGGGGTTGAGCCTCTGACAGCCCATTACTGTACAGCATAACCATCTGAAACATTAGCTTTATAGACCTGCTGGTCCAACACTAACAGATGCAGAGTGCCTCGAACAATATGCTCATAATGGCCTGAGGATGCTGTGTTTTGGCCACGTTTAGATGAAGTGCAATTGGCTATGTGCGGACAGGCGCTGTTGTGAGCAACTGTGGGCATGTCTCAGTGGACCAAAGGAATTAAATGTAAATGATAGCAACTGTCTGGTCAGCTGTGCTATGAAACAAGAAATCCTAGCCAACGTGGTCTCAGCATCGCCCACTCATGTGTGCGCGAGTGTGTGCAATAAATACACTCACAGAAGGGGCAGTGGGAGAATTACAAAAATAGCCAGAGAGTGGGTGTTTCTATATTTTCCTCTCTCTCTCTCTCTCGTGGTAGCTGTTAGTGTTGCGTGTCTTCTGTTCTGTTTGTGTGTCTGTGCCTCTCAGGAGAAAGATTGCTGTTCTAGTATCAGTTCTTTCTTTAGACACAGCATCAGTGTCTTTTTTTTTTTTTTTTTTTTTCCGGTTACTCGCAAAAACCATGTACATAGTTTTTTGTGTCCATGTTTGGATGTCTCTATGGTCCAGCATTAGGAATGAGCATCAGTCTCCATTACTCCATCCATCCTTCCCTCCCATCCTCCATTCTTCCAGCCCTCCCTCATTCCTCCATCACTCGAGATTGCCTCATTTTCCCCTCACATTTGTCCGTCAGGGTTTCCTCTTCAACCAAGCAAGTTAAGAGAGAAAAAAAAACACGGGTGGTAGTTTTTACCTTTTCATCTTTTCAGCAAGAAACAACACATCTGTAGGGCCTGGCCGCATGTTCACACATATATCAATGCTGAGATGGAGAGAGAAAGAAAGGGAGAAAACGAAGGGGTTATTATTAGATTGAATGACAAAAAGGAACAGTGTTGTGACAGTGAGCAGCTGGTGTTTCCGAGTGTTGACAGGCGCTGTTTTTGTGGTTATGTGTGTGTGTGCGTGTGTGCGTGCGTGCATTTGATGGAGACAGATTGTCCTGTGATTGTTCTTTTCTGAGCGGGGCTCGGCTCATAGGGGTTATTGACGGCATCTGCGGGGGAAAAGAAAAACATGACAAATGGCACTCAACCAAATGGCCCACTTCATTTCCCCCACCTCAAGAAATTTTCTACTGATCCAGTGCAAAGGCCTGAAAAGTCAACATGTCTGGTTTATTAGCAAACTACAGACAGGGCAGGAAGCTAATTTGAATTCCAATCTGTGGAAAGTAGTGTATAGATTCGCAGGGGAAGCTGCAGTTAAATCAACATATTTGAAACCGAAGTTTGAGCTTAATTGGTTTCAGGCTAATTGCTGGGAGTCAATGTTAGTTTTGTGCTGTTACTGTGTTGTAGCGCTCTCACCTTCTTTGTGTGGATAGGTGTTGTCTTTGCAGAGGGCTTGGTAGCAATGTGTGTGCTTAGTATGATGGTGCCATATGCTGTAGTGCTTTCTAACCATGTTCAACATGTAACCTCCAAGCTCTCACCTCCACCTGTGTTTAGGAACGCATGTTGATCCCACAAATTACCTCTGCCCCTGTTTGTGTTCTTGCTTGTTTGTGCCACAGGTCGCGGTCTATTAGTGGAGCCTCCTCTGGTCTCTCCACCAGCCCTCTCAGCAGCCCACGGGTAAGTCACGACCCTCAGTGGACTTTCAAAAAACACACGCACACACACATATACAACACACACCTATCTAGTTGTTCACATTCAGGGATAACTGCCATCCAACTACTGCTGATCCCTTCTTATTGCTGTCATCTTATTGCTGTTTATGTTAGCAAGAGAAAATAAAGACGCTCACCGCAGCTTCATCGCAGCGTCATCTGCCCTTTAACAAAACACAGAAAGCAATATCACTATATCTCTCTGCAAATGCAATGTTGTTCTACTGTTCCACTTTATTATTAGTCTGAGATATAGTATGTTATTCCACTCCATAAGTCTTAATCCGCAGTTAAGATCGACCTTTTTTGTTTTGAGGAAGCAGGGATCCACTATGATAAGCTCTTCATATCTGGTGTTAGATCAGGCTTCACAGTCATCACAGTGTCCATGTAGTTTGCGTCTTTCTTTTAACTCAACATGCTGACGTGACAGCACAGCAAACTTTCTTTACCACCCCCCCAAAAGCCTCTTCTCTCTGCTTATTATCCCTCTCTTTGTTTTCCATGGCCTGAGCTCTGTGGAAATCCAGCTCAGGGAATGCTTCAGAAAATCCCACTTTTTTTTTTTCTTTTCTTTTTTTTTTTTTTTTTTTTTTTCTTGCTCTTGCTCAGAGCTGGGGGAGCTTGTGGTAAACTTTTTCCAGTCGACTAACCTGAGAAGGCTCGAGATTAGCCAGGATCCTAAGACGAGCTCCTCACGCCACACAGGTTCTTTCAGGCTGATCTGAAAGGGAAATTGATTTCTCAGACCTAACCCAAAGCCTGGATTGCGCTCTCAGCGAGAGGCTCTGTGTGGGGTTATTTTCTCAGATCTGTGTCTGGAAAAAAGGAGGAGGTGTCCAAGGAAAATACTTGATCAGTGCGCCATTGTGGCTGCTATTTCACCATTACAAATCAAACAGATCAATGAAACTGGAAATTTCACAGCAGAGACAACATAATAGTGTTCCTCTTGTTATTGAGACAGCCCAAATTGTTCTCACAGCTGGCCTTATGTCTCTCACACCTGTGTCTGCTTGGTGTTGTCTGCTAGCAGAGCCCTGTATGTTTTACTCAAGTCCAACCTTAATCACGTCTTGTTTGAACTTTTTAAAGATTGTGTACATTGCTCGCTGTTTTTGTTGTTCCCATTCCCCCTGTTTTCTTTTGACACAAGTTACTCAATGGCCTAACTGCATGTTTTTTTTTTTTCCTTTTCTGTCTTTCTTGTTTACAATGCCTCCATCTCTCCCGTGTATGTACACTTCTCGCCTGCCTCTATGTTCTTGGGCTGCCTCTGCTTCTTCCTGTGTGGTTGTTTGTTCTGCCACCTTTTTTTTTTTTTTAATTTCTTTTATTTCTTTGTTTTTGTGTTTGTGTGCTTGCATGTGTCCCGTGTGTTTTTCTTTGTTGTGTTTTCCTCCTCCACCTGTTGTGGCTGCTGGCTGTGTTGTGCCGTGTGTCCTCTAACTCCAGCCTGTCAGAAAGTTTGGTGTACCGCCACAGACCCCAGACTTGCCACAGTCCCCTAACACCAGCCCATGCCCATCCCCAGAGCCAGTCCTCAATCGCACAGGCCCGCGCATCTCCACCCCCAACTCACTCGCTCCAAACAGCGAGCCCCTGCCGGCAGAACTCAACAAGACGCAGACGCTCCCTGCCAAGCCCAAAGTTATCCCAAAGCCCCTCCAAGCCACACGATCCAACCCGCTCCCCGAAACCTCCCCAGATCCAGCATCTGCAGCCAAATCAGAGCCCTCCACTCCCTGCCAGCTCCCATTGCAGCCACCCTCCGCCTCTGTGCCCCCCACCCCTACTTCCCCATCCTCCCCATCCTCCCCCTTTTCCCCATCCCCCATCCCCAGTGCTGCCATCCAGAACAGCCCCCACGTGCGGCGCTCCCATTTTGCTGCCAACCCCCAGCTCTCTGTGCCCTTCAGCCCAGTGGTGCCGCTGTCGCCCATCCGGCTGCACCACTTTCACCCCGTGGCGCCGACGCCTTCTTCATTCACTGATCACCCACCCAAATCTATCCCCCTCATACAGGTTACCCCTCACCCCTCCCCTCGAGGCAGCCCCCTCCCCACCCCAAAGGGCACCCCAGTGCACACTCCCAAGGACAGCCCAGCTGGCACCCCCACCCCAACGCCGCCCCCCAGCCCCTCCATTGGAGGTATGCCGTGGCGGACGCGTCTCAACTCCATCAAGAACAGCTTCCTGGGCTCGCCACGCTTCCACCGCAGGAAACTCCAAGGTACTGACATCACAGCAGATACAAGATTTGTATGGCAAATACTGAATGATCTTGCACTGTTATGAATCTTATTGAGCCCACTCGTGTGATATGTGTGTTTTGCTGAGCTTTAACCTTTGTCTGATCTTTGGCCCTGCTCACACAGTTCCCACACAAGAGGAGATGTCCAGCCTCACACCAGAGTCTTCCCCAGAGTGAGTAGACGCTGTGCTTTTTGAAGCCACCACCACTATCATAACTATGCATAACCTGTCAGCCCCTCACTCGCTGGCTCAAACAGCCTCGCCCTTGATAGCATGATGTTTTGGAAAGTATTACATCCATGAATGTTTGATTTTTGCCTGCTGAGTTGCCTGTAATGACCTCAGGTCTGGTCTGGGTTGGAGAAGCAGGAGGTAGTGGGTTGGTTATGAGGGAAGGAAGGTAGCCTGTGTGATGTTGCTGAGCTCCCAGGGGCCGGAAAACTCAAGGTTGGCCTAGATATGCCAGTTTGATTGGATGGCTGGCTGGCTGTCTGGCTTGGCCATTTCCACCTGGCTGGAAAGAACATCCTGGCTGGAAGGAGGTAGAGAGCTGGCTAGAAAAGATCTTCTCCTAGCTGGGGCTGGCCTGCACACCTACATACACAGTCATACAGCAGCTGTAACAGGCTTCTTACAGTAGAACAATGCGCCCCTTAATGTCTCTGCAGACATTATAACATTATGTAAGTCTTTATTTATTTAAGTCTTATGAAGTGTTCCTCTTTTTGCTGAATTTTGAGTCGTGCTAATCCATCAACATTTTCAAAAATCTTATTAAATATTAAAATGCCAGAAAACAGGAGTCCATATGGCTTATTAGTGGGCGCAGGTAAACCTGGTGTGAGGCCAGTAGTGAATTCATCTACTTCTGCCCCTTCTGGACCTACAGTTCTGTTCACAGAGAGGGTCAATTATCTCTCTCTCTCTCTCTCTCTCACACACACACACACACACATTTAGACATACCCAGTTGCAAAGAAGGTGAAATGTCAGACAACTTTCCTCCCCTACACAGTTTTAGCTCATTTCCCACAGGGCTATACTCCGTTTGCTCCTTTCCATTTCCCCAGAGCTGCAAAGAGAGAGAGCGAGAGAAAAAGTGCTCTTTCGCTGCTCTCCATTTTTCTGGATGGATAGATGGAAATAATGGGAAAATAAGAAAGCAAATAAGGGTGCAAACAACACAAAACATAAACAATGCAAATATACAGCTTAAAAAAATCTGTGTTTCTTCTTCTCGTCTTTCCTCGCAGACTTGCCAAAAAATCCTGGTTTGGTAACTTCATCAACCTGGAAAAAGAAGAGCAGATCTTCATTGTCATCAAGGACAAGCCTCTCAGCTCCATCAAGGCAGACATCGTTCAAGCCTTTCTCTCGGTACACACACCACTTTTTGTCCTTTTTTTTTTCTCTGCCTCTCCTGCTCCCACCATGACCTCTTCTCCCATCTGCCCCCTGACCCCTGTGCCCCAACCTTTTCTCTCTATCTCTTCATGTGCGCATGTAGCTGTATTACCTGTATGTCTTCTGACTGGTGCAGGATGTTGCGTTTTCTAACAGCAGCTGTGATTTCCTGTGCTATGAGGCAGCTTCTCTCTGAGCATTTGCTAACATGCTTCTGATTCATGTAGCAGTTCAGTAAACTGCTTGTGTTCAGCGCTTCTATTTTCTCTCTGACTGCAGACTCACTTGGGGTCAATAGAAAATCAACAAAGAGCGTTCATCATTAGCATATAGATGCTTTGCCCTCAGTACTGTGTATTGAGCTTGTGTGTGTTTATGTGCATATTTAGATTTGGCGCAAGAAATTGCCTCATAGTGTATATTGTATCTGTGTGTGTGTGTGTGTGTGTAGTGTATTTATAATAATGTGGATGTACAAATACATGAAGGCAATGCCGGGGTTTCTCAGTGAGCGCAGCAGAGTAAGTATCAACAAACATTCAGCAGTGGTAGTTGATATTCAGTGTACATAATTGAACAGAACCTATCCTCACCCCGGTTAGATTTAACAAAGTCTAAGTAAATGCAAACTCTGCCAGTGCAGGTCAACGTCAATCTGTTTCCCCATCCCTGGAGGTAGCTATTTTCTCCTCTGGGTTATGCTAGCTTGTATTCCAGACAGGAGATTGACACCTGAATCAGTGGAATTATACCTCCCAGCACACTCACATTAATGGAATGTCAAACCCTCTCCAGCACTATGGCGAAATGTGACAATTTCAGAGCTCACCTGTTCATTGGGCATACAAATTCATTTTAGGTGGGAGAGTGCAATGTTGTTGGATGACTCAAGATTACATTAGCTTAAGTCTCCCTGGCATGCATGGCTACTCCCTGAGGCATTAATCTCCTTAGAGTTTCAACTGTGGCTCGCAGTATGTGGAGGGTATTTTAATGAGGGTTTATTCACCTTGTCATTTGCAAGGTGTGGGAGAAAAATTAAACATCAATGCTCCCTATGTATAATCCCATTACTCGCCTCCTTTTTCTACCCATTTTTATTCCTATCTCTGTGTCTTTGTCCATTTTTCCTGCGCTGACTCCTCTTCTTCTTCTTCTTTTTTTTTCTTTCTCCCAGATCCCCAGTCTGAGCCACAGTGTGATCTCTCAGACCAGTTTTCGAGCAGAGTACAAGTCCACAGCCGGCCCTACAGTCTTCCAGAAGCCGGTCAAATTTCAGGTGGATATCACCTACACAGAGAGCACAGCTGCCACTAAGGAGAATGGCATCTACTCTGTCACCTTCACCCTGCTCTCAGGTCAGGACACTTATGCACACATCAGGAGATTATCCATCTACTCATATTCTATATATGCTTATCCAGCCTGCATGTATCTGGAAAGAGGCATGATGCCTCATTACTGTGCACAGACAGTAATGAAAAGCAATGGATCAAAAAAACAAAACAAAAAAAAAAACACAGTTTTTTGTTTTTGTACTTGAGCAAAACAGGATGCCTTGAATTTAGAGGGAGGGAGCTGGTTACCTTTCTTGTGGACAGTCTACACCAAAACGGTCAAGTTCAAAGCCAGGAAATTCCTTCTGTGAGACAACAGATCAGGGGACAGAGCTACGTACAGTATTATGTAATCTTGAGTAGTCGGTCTTCGGGTCTCATCACACTCACAGAGGTCTTTTGAAATTCAAGCATACATCTCTCTCTGAGAAGTGCGGGGAAGACCGTCCTTAAATGTCAAGTGGGATGCTGTCACACTTCAAACTAATAAAATTACACTGTGAAAAACTGTGTTTGTATCCAGCCGACAAATAAACCAGAAGTGCTGTTTTGCAGAAGTGGGTGTTTTTCGAACTCGCTGCCAGCGAGAACGGCTGCCTAAGGATTTTCAAAGTTCTTGCAATCCTGAATACTTGATAAGATTTTCCCCAAACCTCCCTGAGCGTAACAAGATGAGGTCTGGCTATGCAAGATTACATACTATTGCAATCATGCGTGCATGCTTTGTCTCGCAGAACCACATGCATGATCTATTTCGCTCTCTAACACACAGTCACAAACACACACACACTCAAGTGGGGGCACATTAGAGCTGAATGGGATGTAATAGTGGCTGTTTTGAACCTGCTGGTTCTTCCATGTCACTGACCATATACTGTACACAACAGGTAGACAGCAGGAGCTCACAGTAGCACTCCTCTCTGGGCTCCATTTGTGATCTCAGGATTTCTGCAGCTTTTCCAGCTCACATTTCACACCATGCACCGTGTGTGTGTGTGTGTGTGTGTGTGTGTGTGTGTGTGTGTGTGTGTGTGTGTGTGTGTGTGCTTCTTCTCTCCTCGCCTTTATTTTTTTCTTCTCTCGGTTATTCCATCTACATATTTTCTACACTTTTGTAAAATTTCTACACATATTTTACACATCTTCCTGTTGCTAGCATGATGCATCTGATTATGTCAGTGTTTCCTCTGTGTGTTTGCATGTGTCGTATTTAGGACCCAGCCGGCGCTTTAAGCGAGTAGTGGAGACGATTCAGAGCCAATTGTTAAGCACACACGACCAGCCTGGGGTCCAACAGCTGTCTGGTGAGTAAGAACTTCTTTTTCAAAAAGGAAAAAAGAAAAAGAAAATTCAAAATCTTTTCCAAAACCTCTTCACCTTTACCCCTACCGCCTCATCCGCTCATCCCACCCCCCTGACGAACACCTCTCACCGCTGAAGCTAAGCTAAATCCTGCCCTCCTCTTCCCCCGTGCTTGAAATCCCTGAGCCACTCTCCGCTTCTCGAAGCGGCTTCCTCTGCATGCCGGCGCCTCACTGCCATGAAATGGTGGGAGTTGCTCTCAAGCACCGACTGCGGGTCAAATGTTGTCTCGTTGCCCTGGCAGTGAAGATTAGAGTAGAGGTAGGGTAAGCTGATTCGCATTCTGTTACTCCTACTTCCAAGACTGATCATCGGAGCTTGTCACCATGGCAACACCACTGCACCTCAACACACTCCCACAATGCACTGCACTGCACAGAGACACCACACCTGACAAGCGTTCTCTCTCTTGCTTTTTCTCTCCCTCTCTGTATGCCTCTTAAATATGACCCCCCTCCCCCTTTCGCCCCCATCCACCAGCCTCTTTTGGCTCCTCTAAATGATGCAAAAGCGCTGTCGGCTAACCTCAATCACCATCTAACTGTTCACCTGTGAACTTCATGGCATTATTAGAACCTTCCTCTTCCTCCTTTCGTCTTCTCATTGATCTCGGGGTTGAGTCCCTGAACCTGTTCTTCCACCGCCGTGTCTATGTCCAATTCTCCCTCAACACACAGTCTGGATGATGAGGAGAAAAAGAAGAGAGAAATAGAGGATTCTACTCCTCCCTGTCTGTTCTGAGCGTGTCCTTCCTTGTGAATCACTGCTGTGTTGGTGTGTGCCTCAGTCACCATCCTCTTGACAACAGCTCCACCTGCTGGTCAGACAGGGCAACACCATCAGCCAAAAATCCATTTTTAACAGGAGGAGGTGTGCTGTTGTATTCTTTGGATATCAGCTTCATCCTGTATGTTAATCATACTCTTGGTGCCTGCATATTTGTGTCTTCCTCTTTCCTTTTAAAACCATTTTCCAGTTCCATGTCTGATACAGCTTATTAAACTGATACATAGCCATCGGAGCTTTGGTATTGTGCTGTGTTACTGTTCTCTAAGTTTAAAAGTGTATCTTTTTTTCATGGCTTTTATGTGATTTTACTCTCACTGGAATTCAGGAATGAACAGCAGTCGTGACAGCTGTTATGATATTTGTTTTGATATTTAACACTCTGTTCAATCATTGCTGTGCCTCAGTAAGTTTACCAATTACTTGTGATCATTTATATTGTCGAGCTAATTAACAGGCTGAGGTGTGGGAAGGGTAAAATTAGAATAAATCACATTAGATCGGGTTTTAATGACTGCTGTGTGTCTCTGTGCAGCAGAGATGACACTGTAAGAGTAACATTCAGACTATGTATAATATGAGAACCACTTAAAGCAATAGATAGTGAGTGAGGATATAACAGAACATATATTAATTCATTGGTAATAATTATATCCGAGAAAGGTCAGTCTAAATTTAGTTCATGTCTTCATGTATCAAACAATATAATAATAATCTTAAAACAATATCAGATCAATATCAGTATGTGCTTGAAAGCTTTGTGAAACTCATTTTCCTCCACCCCCTGTCTTTCCTTTGCCCTCCTAACACAGCTGCAGTGCTTCCTGACCACAGGGCCTTTAAAATAACAGAAGCCAGTGTCTGTAATTAAGAACAGTGATGGCTTTGCATACCAATGTGTGTCAAACAAAAGGCCTCATCAGGTCTTGGTCATTGTGTTCCCTAACCACCATTAACAGCAGCATACCTGAGAGCCAAGCTTAGGAAGACAACAGAGGGGTTGAACAACACAAGGAGTAGTGTAGAGGAACGTAGCAAACACACAGTAGAACTACAGAGGAGAAGCGTTCATCTAGAGGATTGTGTCTCTGGTTTATTGAACAGCTGAGATCATTTAGTTTCATGAGTATCCTGCCATTTTTGAAAATGTGCAGATTAGGCTAGAGTGAAGTGAAAACATGAGACAGGAAAGAAGGAGCATTAGGGGGAAGTTGGCTGCAACCATTTTCCAGCTGGATAATGGAGCAGTCAAAACCAACTGTGGCGTACACACACACACACACACACACACACACACACACACACACACACACACACACACACACACACACACACACATTCTCTCATTCATGCTGAGATGAAGTTTGACTTCATCTCCAGGCTTCTGCAGACACAGTCTTCACACTGGCAGTGCAAACTAACGCAAACTAGCCACGAAAGAGATTCCAGTTTCCAACAGCCGTATATTAAGTGCTGATACACAGACCAGTCCAGTATGTGTGTGTCTGTTTGTGTGTGTGTTTTGTCATCTGTGCAGCACCCCCACCTGTTTTTACTGATGTTGTCAATGTTCATTTGTCGGCCCACAGGACTCTGCATATTGTGCAAGTGGATCTTCTGTCAAGTGTTCAGAAACAGTGCTGCTGTTTGTGACTGATGTGCTGTGTGTGCATCATTAACAAAGAGAACATTGACTCTTTATTTGCTCGATTTCTCATGTTTGGTGTCCTTACCACTCCGCCTACCTGCAGTGGGACCATTAAGGCCCTGCAGAAAAAAAGTGAGCATGTTTAGCTCCATGCATACTTTCCTACTTACACACACACACACACACACACACACACACACACACACACACTCTCTCTCTCTCAATGTGCTTATGGCAAATGAACTTTGAATTTAGCATATCCACCTATTTTATTGTCAGATTAAACAGTATTTATGACCTAAGTGCAAATCATCACAGTTTTGACTCTATTGTAGTGAAATCTCATGAGTTTGACTTCAAGTTCAAGTTGCTGTTCTATAATGATGTCTGCAAAAACTCTATGCGTGATTAGGGTTGGCAAAAGTGGAGGAGACACTGATTTTTTTTAATTTTCAAGGATAACTTTGTCTTGAAGCTCCAAGCTTTTTCATTGTCCTTCTTCCATCACCTGTCCTACTGTTGGCTGGCCAGTCCTGCTCAGGCACACAGACAACGCCCCACACTTATTCTTTTGTGCAGCACACAGTTTATATTTTAAACAAATTTACTGTGGTGTCAGGGTAAAGAAGTCCATATTTCTTTAATGGTATAATGAGTAGTCGTTTAATAAGTCATAAAAAACATCATAGTGTAGTAAATTATAAGAATGAAATACTATACTAAGTCAAAAAAACAACATTGTATATCAAGTAATGAAAACGGAACAGTACGGCATAAAAAACATCATGGTATACTGAGGTATAAAAACGTCATAGTAATGACATAGTATAGTAGGGCATAAAAACATCATAATATAGTAAGGTATAAAAACATCAAAAAATGGTCATAGTATAATAAGGCACAAAACTTCATTAATATATCATAGTATAGTAAGGCATAAAAGGTCATAAAAACGTCACAGTATAATGAGGTATGAAAAGTAATTGTATAGTAAGGCATTAAAAAGGTCAAAAAAACATCACAGTATAGTATGGCATAAAACGTCATAGTACAGTGAGGCATAAAAATTTCAAAGAATGTCATAGTATAGTAAGGCATAAAATGTCATGATAACGTCATAGTATAGTTAGGCATGAAATTTCATAGTTTAGTAAGGCATAAAAGGTCTTAAAAACATCCTAGTATAGTTAGGCATGAAATTTCATAGTTTAGTAAGGCATAAAAGGTCTTAAAAACATCCTAGTATAGTTAGGCATGAAATTTCATAGTTTAGTAAGGCATAAAAGGTCTTAAAAACATCCTAGTATAGTTAGGCATGAAATTTCATAGTTTAGTAAGGCATAAAAGGTCTTAAAAACATCCTAGTATAGTTAGGCATGAAATTTCATAGTTTAGTAAGGCATAAAAGGTCTTAAAAACATCCTAGTATAGTTAGGCATGAAATTTCATAGTTTAGTAAGGCATAAAAGGTCTTAAAAACATCCTAGTATAGTTAGGCATGAAATTTCATAGTTTAGTAAGGCATAAAAGGTCTTAAAAACATCCTAGTATAGTTAGGCATGAAATTTCATAGTTTAGTAAGGCATAAAAGGTCTTAAAAACATCCTAGTATAGTTAGGCATGAAATTTCATAGTTTAGTAAGGCATAAAAGGTCTTAAAAACATCCTAGTATAGTTAGGCATGAAATTTCATAGTTTAGTAAGGCATAAAAGGTCTTAAAAACATCCTAGTATAGTTAGGCATGAAATTTCATAGTTTAGTAAGGCATAAAAGGTCTTAAAAACATCCTAGTATAGTTAGGCATGAAATTTCATAGTTTAGTAAGGCATAAAAGGTCTTAAAAACATCCTAGTATAGTTAGGCATGAAATTTCATAGTTTAGTAAGGCATAAAAGGTCTTAAAAACATCCTAGTATAGTTAGGCATGAAATTTCATAGTTTAGTAAGGCATAAAAGGTCTTAAAAACATCCTAGTATAGTTAGGCATGAAATTTCATAGTTTAGTAAGGCATAAAAGGTCTTAAAAACATCCTAGTATAGTTAGGCATGAAATTTCATAGTTTAGTAAGGCATAAAAGGTCTTAAAAACATCCTAGTATAGTTAGGCATGAAATTTCATAGTTTAGTAAGGCATAAAAGGTCTTAAAAACATCCTAGTATAGTTAGGCATGAAATTTCATAGTTTAGTAAGGCATAAAAGGTCTTAAAAACATCCTAGTATAGTTAGGCATGAAATTTCATAGTTTAGTAAGGCATAAAAGGTCTTAAAAACATCCTAGTATAGTTAGGCATGAAATTTCATAGTTTAGTAAGGCATAAAAGGTCTTAAAAACATCCTAGTATAGTTAGGCATGAAATTTCATAGTTTAGTAAGGCATAAAAGGTCTTAAAAACATCCTAGTATAGTTAGGCATGAAATTTCATAGTTTAGTAAGGCATAAAAGGTCTTAAAAACATCCTAGTATAGTTAGGCATGAAATTTCATAGTTTAGTAAGGCATAAAAGGT